TCCACTGAGGCGATGAAGGTGAGTGTCATTTTATGCAGTGCATGGCCTTTGGTGAAATTATTCATTGAATTAAAAAGAGATACATTTGGATGTCTGAACTAAAGATCATATAGCACCATGTAGCGGCGCAAGATGGAGAACTTCACTGTGAATATTTGTAAAACGTAATTGCCTGGGTGCCATTTGAGCAAGCGATATGCCTGCGCAGTGGATGTTAATGCACGGGCGCAGGTGCCGCGCCTGATGCACAGTGGGTGTGCCTGGCATGGCACCAGCGCCTGTGCATTAACATCCACTATGCAGGGGTATCGCTCGCTCAAATGGTGCCCATGGTAATTACACCTTCTTGGCAGAGTTCTCCATCTTGCTTCGCTGCGGGGTGCCAGAGGATCTTGGTCTGGTTATTTATTTTTACACTTGCACCAGCAACATTCAAGTTGTTCTCAAGATCTTGACTGCATGACAGTACCATCAGGGTGGCAAAATTGCCACTTTGGGGATGAAGAAAACAAAATATTTCTACATTTGGGAGACTTTTGCCCATGTGTATGTGAGCCTGTACTTGATTGCTCCTTGCAGCTAGATACAAATGAAATATCGGAACTATATCCAAGTAAAAGCAACATTGTTTCTTTCAATCCTGTGTCGCAGCTCTTTAAGCTCACCAAGACACCAGCCCGATCCAACAGCATTCCCCTGGCCGCGACGACCGATCTACCCAGCCAGCCAAGGAGGCTGTTTGTGATACGGCACGCCGAGAGGGTGGACATCACTTTTGGCCAGCAGTGGCTTCAGCACTCATTTGACGTCAACGGTAAGTATTGTCAGACAAGGCCCGTGGTCTGATGATCTGAGCCAAAATTGTTTAGAGCCCTGTGGCACTTCTCCTTATCAGAGTCAAGACTCACAACTGAGCCCTGTGTTTCTATTCCCTATCACAGTCAAGACTCACAACTGAGCCCAGTGTTGCTACTTATCAGTCAAGACTCACAAATTAGCCCAGCGTTACTACTCGTTATCAGAGTCAGACTCACAACTGAGCCCTTGTCACTACTCCTGATCAGAGTCAAGACTTACAACAGATGTTGTACAGCTTGTGACCAAATGCTTGTCAGTAATGATGACCGTGTGGTCACCTGCTGGGGTTGCTTTTTTATTTGACCCTGTTTCAGGCTAGCTTGCAGGATGTAATTCTTTTCCATTCATTCTTTTTTGTGCTGGAAAAAGTTTAAGGAGAAATGATGGCCGAGATCCATTCATTACAGAACGGTCTGGTTCCTGTATCCAATTCCGCAGACTGGAGCGCTAGAAGTAGATAGCAATCAGTTTAAGGCCGTGCCCGAAATGGGGTTCCAGAGCTACGGCTAGGTCTATTGTCAGTACATCTCCGTGTATTTCCAATGGAATGAAGACTGAGGCCTAGCTCTAAAGAACAGATTTGGATGCAGCTTCAAATAATGTAACAGTAACGGCTTCTTATGTTTAAAACCCCGAACTCCCTGTTTTTGCCAACAGGAAAGTACATCCGGAAGAATCTGAATATGCCGAAGAGGGTCCCCATTCGGGCAGGAGGGTCACAGGCATTTAACAAAGACCCCCCGATCACTGAAGTCGGCAAGTTCCAGGCTAGACTAACTGGTGAGAATTCAGCCTGGTGTCCCAGAATATTAACATTTGTGACCCACCATTCCGGAACCAGACTGAAGTAGGTAACTCCATATCCCCAACACCCCTGTCCATGCTCGCGGAGGCTCCACCTGTGTCAGTGTCCATAATCACCAAAGCTTCCTGCTCCTTAGATCACTTTGAAGTGGAAAAAAACACTTGGGGAGAGGAAATGTAAAACATCACGATATACCTACCATGCCTACTCCAATCTGGTTTGGGTACGGTGAGTCCCATTTTCAACCCTATACCAGCCTCTAGGTGACATTTTGTATTTCTTCCCTCTGTCAACAAATTGTCCCAGTTCCTGTTAAACCGAGCAAGCAGTTTTTTTTTTTCATTCACTTTTTTCAGATGTTGAATGAAGCAATATTTCAATTACATTGAAGCACATCCCAGGAACCTCTCAGTGAGGCAAATCCTGTGGTATTTTCATTAGGTGATAACACTGTGCTATTGTATGACCCCCCCGTTGCACTTCTGTATTAAAAGTTGTGTGCCCGGACTGTGTGATCCGTTTGTCATAACTTTCAACCGCACGTGTGGCACTTAAACACGAAAGGTTGACTTTGCTGGTCGCCTACAGCCTCTGCATGTGTTGCCGTTGTCACTAACCCCTCGCTGCTGTGGCGAGAAGGTTGATACCTGAGGACAAAGAAATGATTACATCTTATCCACTTACTACCGGGGACTCCGGGATCGGAGATGTATGGTTTATATGCATGGCGGTGGTCTCCGAACTCGGACAAAGGAAACAGGGCCCTGTAACAAAAGACAGTACTCCGAACAAAAGACCAGGCTCCTGGGCATTACCGACATTTTTCACTCTCAAAAGTGGTGATAATCCAGCCTTGTTTTGAAACCGTATACCATGGTTTGGGGCATTGAAAGCGAGCGAATTACCACCGGGGACAAAAGTGCTCCACCACCGTAGCGATGAGCCACACAGCACCGCTGCACGCTAATCTGGCCCCTATTGAAAAGGGGTCAGCAGTGCACTGAGCCAGGTTCGCGAACAAAAGACAGTTATACAACACCGCACAATCTGGGCTCTGTTTACAAGGCTGCAGACCTGGCTGAAACACTCGGGTGTCAATGAAGGTCACCTGACAACTTAGAGTTGTGCCTAAAGATTACTTTGTGCGGTTATAAATGACCGTTAAATGAAATGATGAATTTTTGAAGGATTCTGAAAATGGAAAAAATGATAGTTGTGCCGGCCTAGCATCATCAACATTGAAAAATGCCCCGGCATGAAGTGGTTATTCTGAGATTGAAATGTAATCCTTCTTAAACCTATTGTGTCTCACCACTGTTGTCCAGTCCGTATGTCTTTTACTTGTCTTGTCCAAGGGAAAGGGATGTTGGCATCTTTTTTTTCTTTTAGGCTAAGCTTATACATTGTGCTGTTATTATTATTATTATCAATATTATCTGACTTTATTATGTATTCTCATAAATAAAATCTACATGCTATCCTGTTGTAAATGATGTCAGTATGGATATATATGATGTTGACTGAAGCTTGTTGGACTGTCAAATTAACATGCTGTGGAACCGGGCGTAAAAAGGCTAGCCTTCTTCAGTGATCTGTCCGGTGTTCCTGTTTTCTAATTCAAAACTCCCCTGTCGTTTTTGAAATAAAAAATAACATACAGAGATTCCACCGGGTTAACCCAATCATAGTTGGATTCACTGACTTGTGAAGTGGTTCTTTTTTCAGGCCTTTATTCTTCTTTTTGAATCTTGATGCTGCTGTTTCTTGTCACAGGTGAAAGCATGAGGGAAAACGGCATCGTCATATCTCATGTGTACTCCTCCCCTGCCTTGCGGTGTGTGCAGACGGCCCAGGCTGTCATAGATGGTAAAATGCATGATACGCTGTCACTCATGCCTTACAAAGTGGCTCGATAGGCACAGCTTTTAAGGACGTGCTGCTGATTTGTTACAAGGCGTGATTTTATTGAACCTTTTTGATCAGATTTCAGTTCCAAATTTTCTAGAACCTGTTTCATCCTTTCCCATCTGGATCCTCTCAGATCTAATCTTTGGTCTAAATTTGCTAGGACCTGTCCGATTTGAAATGTCTTGTCTAGTCTGTTCCCCAGGCCTGAATTCTCTAGGAACCTGTCTTATTGACATGTATATCCAGACCTACATTTTGCAAATCCTTCCTGATCTGTTTCTAAGGTATAAATTCCCCAAAAGCTTCCAACCTGTTTCGAGAGTCATAACTATCTGTTGCCATTCCAATCAAATATTCCCATACCCAAATTCTCAAGAGCCTGTCCGGTCATAAATTATTTAGAATCCTTCAGACCTATTCTCGGCCTGAATTCATCTGGAAACCTTTCCGATCTCTGTCCAGGGCTGAATTCTCTGGAACCCCTCAAGATCCGAGTGGACACGGGGCTGTTTGAGTGGCTGGCGTGGTGCAAGGGCGCGCTGCCCAAGTGGATGACCCTGGGCGAGTTGGAATCCCACGGCCTGAATGTGGCACTGACCTACAAGGAGATGATCTCTGCCTCCGACCTCAACCTGCAGGAGAACTGCCAGTCGTACTACAAGAGGGGGGACACACTGCTGAGACGAGAGATCAAGGAACATCCCAAAGGTAGGTCAGTGAGGTCAGAGGTTGGTGGCTAATGTCAGAGGTAAGTCACCGAGGTCAGAGGTTGGTTGCTTAAGTCAGAGGTAGGTCGCTGAGGTCAGAGGTTGGTTGCTGAGGTCAGAGGTAGGGGTCTGAAGTCAGAGGTAGGTTGCTGAAGTCAGAGGTAGGTTGCTGAGGTAGGTCATTGATGTCAGAAGTATGTCATTGAGGTCAGCGGTACAATGTAGGTCACTGAGATCAAAGGTAGGTAAGTGAGGTCAGAAGTAGGTTGGTTTGGTCGTTTGATTTTTTACAATATCTTTTGGTACAGAGCACTACATGTATTGCACTACTTCTTTCTCTCTCTATGAGAACTTCAATAAATCTAACCCCCAAAATTGCATATTTTGGCTGTTCATTTTTTGATGAGCACCTTCTGAGTGGAAATTTCTTTTACTTTGAGTAGCTGTGATTGTTGGGAAGTCTCCAATTGCATTGTGGTATTGTAAACGAAGAATGGACAAGTGTAAAACAGATTACGAAGAAAGTTGAAGAGGTGCCTCTTTGAGGCAAATGCCGATTGGTGCATTCACTGCATTTATAACGGATACCAGTTTTCAGGCAGCAGCGTGATTGTGGGCTTTTTTAGTTTCATTCGAAATGGTGGGCTGATTTGAAATCTCCATCACCAGGTGTACGGTAAGTAGGCGCCCATGGCTTTATTTGGATCTGGACAAGAACCTGATGGGCATCTAAGCTTATCGTATGATAGTTCATGTCTTTTTCTTGTCCTGATCGCTGCAGGTGATATCCTGATCGTCGGCCATGCCAGTAGCCTGGACGGGTGCACACGATACCTGCAAGGCCTGTCAGCCAGGCCGGCATTGGAGTTCTCCAAAATAGTACAGAAGGTGGGTGCTGCCGTTAGCTCTCTCTGTCGTCGACTTGCGTTTTAGTTCAGTACATCCCAAGTACTGATGGTTGCTTCACAAAAAATGCTAACTGTTTCTCTTTTTTGTAAATACTTCTGTATCAGTGCAAGCAAGAAGATATCGATGGTTGAATAGACCAGTTGCGTCCACTATAAAGTCACATGACCCAAAGTGGGTATTAAATATCAATAAACGCGGCGTCCACCAAAAGCAAAGTGTTTCATAAGTATCATTTACCAAAAATAAAGCTGAATGTAGGTACCATGCTCCGACTACTGATGTGCTGGGTACTGTACCATAAATTGGCTTTGTTGTTCGAAAATAACACTTGAAACACATGTTGACACAGGGCAGATACCCACTATGGGTCACATGATTTAGTGGGTGCAGGTGGTCTATTGCTCTACACACTTGGTTTAGACAGTAAGCATACTTGTATGTATGTCAGTACATGTACCGTCAACCCTCTTGCTGGTAAGGACCGCCGATACATGTATATCAATAATATCCGATATATCAAATTTGCTTTGATATCAATTTGAATGATATCACTTTAATATTGAAATCCATATATTGAAAGTGCCCATGTAATGAAAAAAATGAAGCTATTGGCCTAATAGTTATTGTTATTGACAATATCTTGTCTTGAAATAAAAGTGTTTGTTTTTCGTGGCCAAGAATAGCAGTTGGCAAATTTACCTTTGATTTCTTTTTTTTCCTCTTCACAGAAGCTTGTAAAAAAGTGATTAAAAGTAATCAGCTACGCGGTGTACAGTGATTTTTGCGTCATTACGTACATGTACATGTAAAAACTTGTTTAGACCTTTTCACTAATAAATTCTCAATTATGCACGCACAAATGGCCTTGGCAGCAAGAGGTGTCAGTGGGCCATTGAAAATGTATAGGCGTGCGACTTTGATAGTCATTTTCTCTGAAACCAAAAACTGCAAGAGACTGAAAACCCCCAGAATTTGCTCTTTGGATAAGTCCGCCAAATGATTTCCATTTTGTCCCATACCTGATGTCACATTTTCTTTTTTAACTGCCACAGTAGAGGAAAAACATTGAAATTTGTCAAAGTTCTTGTCTTCAAGGGTAAAACTTGTGTAATGTACATTCCACATATCATTGCGCAAAATCATGTACGTGCCTTGTTATATCCGTATAACGGTGTCCCAGAAAAAAAATGGATCCTGAAATAAAAGGTTTGCTTGGCCAAAGTGTGTGCCATTTCTATTTTTGCCGTAAAGTTTGAGCAAAAGGCTTTCAGATGATAACACTGTTGGAATTCCTCCAGTCATTCTTCACTGGGCACAGGTGTTTTGAAATTGAAATGTATAATAGTGCTCTTCATAGGCATAAGAAGTTGACTCTTTTTGTGGGAAATTGTAAGAGTGACACTCTCTTGAGATGTTAAGAGGCTTCCCCTTGAAGTTCCCGGTTTTCTTTGGAAACGAGGAATGTTTACATGGACGTGTATCAAGCACTTTTTTTTTAAATACCCTCATCGGCAGATCCCGTACTGTGGCGCGGTGGCCCTCCAGGAGTACCAGGATTTTGGGATCTGGGACCTCATCACCCCGCCTTTTGCTACGCTGACGCACGCCCCCAACGGCCGCTTCGACTGGCACATTATGCAAGGATGAAACCAGCTTGGCCACATTGAAGCATAGTCTTTCATCAAATGCCTTGTTAGCTGAATATACTTGTATGCATTTTGTACATATCTATGCTCTGATAAATGTCAACAACAGAAAATTATATAGAGTTGGAAAAAGGAGAATTTTTAAAAAAGGAATTGACACGAATGCCAGTGATTTGTTTTATTTGCAAAAAAGTGGTAAAATCGCTTAGTTAATTGGAGTCTTTGACCACCAGAAGAAGGTTTGTGACTTTTCTGAAAAGAAAAAGCCAGGAAATACGTAGATTAGATCATAGTCAATTGGTCACGAGCGGTGTACATTTAGGCTGATGACGGACTTGTAAGGTAAGACAAGATACAAGACCGGTTACAGGACCAGTATACAAGGCCAGACACAAGACCAGGCACTAGGCCAAACACAAGTGTCAGTGTGAACAATGACAATGGAGTTCTTGTTTAGGTTGTGGCTTGACTAAGACTGGGGGTCTTGTGTTGGTCTTGTGAAGGCCTTACGTGGTCTCGACTACAAACAGTTATCGGGAAGCACATTATTCAGAGGCAGTGGACGAGTGGTCAAGCTAAAGTTCACACCCAAACTGACCCCATTAATGGGGCACCACCTTCAGTGGGTATCTACTCAACCCGTGTCTGTATTGGTCTGGAGAGGGATGTCAGATTTCAACGGGCTGGGATGACAAGTGGGCAGTGAGGGTTGGAAGATGTTGGAACTGAGTGATGTATAAGAGTGATCCTAAAGAAACAAATTAGATGAAATAAATGACATATGTCACAGGAAATGGAGAGTGTGCGGAACAAGATGGAACAAAGAAAGAAATCTATGCTTAAAATGCATAAAAATAAGATGAATGAAATAAGACGAGCACCTGGGAATAGTGACTCGCTACGTTCTTTTTATGGTATCATCTAAGTAATGAAATATTAGATCGAGCTTTATGGCAGTCAAGAGTTTTAATCTGCAGACACTTCAGGTAGTTTGAAAAGCAAAATCCATCAAAATGAAATATAATAAACATTGTCATGGATCATGATTTCGTGATCCAGATTTTTACTTTGCAATGCCATTGGCCAAGCCACAAGAAGCGATGATTGTCACCTGCCCAATCTAGGATTGGTGGGGATTTTGAAACGCAGGTGTCATCTCCTCAGCCTCAGGTGTGGCTTCATGGAAGCAGATATGATCTCCTGAAATGGGATCGATTCAACCTGAGATGAAACCCACTGCTGATTTTTAGCCAGGATTTGGAAAATGGCTGAGGGGTTTAGCAGTACTCGGCTTTATATTTAACCCCCTAACTTTGCTGTAAGAGAATGTGTCCAGAAAATCAAAATATATACAACAGAGCTACCGCAATTAATGACGATTGTCTAGTTAATTTGAACACTATAGCCCTTATGCTAGGTGTTCGGTTTGAAAAATGAAGCCCGAGACAGAGATTGAGCTTATTATTGGAAACCCCCCTGGACTGCCAGTTGGTCTTGCTGGAGACCTAGGTGCTAGGGAGATCCCCGGACAAAGTAGAACAATTAAAACTAAATACCTCCAAGGGGAAATAAAACAGGAGAGAAAAAGAGAAAGAAAATGGAAATGAAAGGAGGAAAGGGGATGACAATTACTCATTTGATTGAAAATACCGCCGACTTGAAAAGCCCTCCTCCACTTTTGTTTGTCAGTTATTAATGACCATTCCTCTTTCTTGAGAACGGTTTTTGCGCAAGCCTTGCTTTGCCCATTTCCTCAGATAGCGCCTCGAAGACCACACGTCTTCTCTTCAACCTTAAACCGAATCGTATTATGTGTATATTATCGACAGGAACGATCTAAATTGGTTCAGTTCTGATTTTTGTTTTGGTAAGGGTTTATTAGTTGTACCAAATAATTCTAACGATCTGCAATTATAACTATGATTGTGCTGCATATACTGTAAATTTGCATATTTTTTGAAATAATAATTTGAATTTTTGTTATGAGAGGTCATAGGTTACTGTATTTTATTTTTGTACAAGGACGCCCTTTTAATTCTAATATTTAATGCATTATTTGATGAGGGACACAGCTATTTGTAATATTTAATTAGTACATGTAGATTTTGTATGCAAAGTGGCCTTTGTGTTATGTGGGATCCCTGGCGCCCAGTTACGGAGACAAGCGGCAATGGAAGTTGTAAAAGTAAAATATCAAAGACATGTTTCCTATGGAATTGCGAGCAGACTGATTTAAACTGCGTCACGGGGCAATAAGACGTCTCCTCTAGAAAAACCAAGCAGTTTTTCAAAGATGCCGCGCTGAGACAACGTGTTCTTTCTAATTAGCTGTCTAGTTAGGTATGATGTCACAGACTGGCTGAGAGACTGTTCTCGAGTTGAAGTGGGCGTGCCTTCAGCGCGCCGCCCGTTCTTACTGTGGGGCATCATTGCTAATGTGGATAGTGATTAACATAACATAACATTTTGCAGAACTAACGGTGTAACACCTTATACTATGTAATGTACAGTATCTTGTAGCATTTTGTGACCGGTTTCCGTTATCGCTTGTCTGTGAATGGGCCCTTATATTGTGACCAAAGAAGTTGAATGCGTGTTTCTTGACATGGTTTGCCTGTCTTCGCTGGGATTGTGTGAAACTGTTGGGCAAAGATGTACCAGACATTCTTATTCAAGATTGCCATCGATATTGGCTCCTGGTCCTGGTCACTCTGAGTGGACAGGGTCTTTAGGAGGGTGTGAATTCAGACACGACTAAATCATACCCAAACCTGCAAAATCCTCCTTCCCATAATTCCTTTCCATATCAAATATAAGCTTTATGCAACAGTCCAAAATCACACCTAAGAAAATTGGAAATGTGCGATTTTGGACGGACGTGAGT